CCAAGTGACAGCAGGATGGGGCCTTCCTGGGCCCAGGTGCAGTCACCAGGGCTGGGCAGCAGCTGCCTGGGGAGGTACAGCTCAGGGCACCTGGAGCAGGTGTGGGTGAGGATCTGTCCCCAAGGAGCAATGGCAATGGGGATGTCTGCAGCTTCCTGTGTGGCCCGTGGACAGCCCTGTGGGAGCAGCCCAGACACCAGCAGCCATCATGTGCCCTAGACTCCCAGGCTGACTGGGGGACAGGATGCGTACTGCAAGCTCCTGCCTGGACCCCTCCCCATGCCACCCTGTGTCCTCCAGGCACCCGGCTCACCCCTGAGAGCTCTGAACCTGTTAACATCCCTGAGCAGTTTGGGGCCCACAGGCTAGGGTGGGCTCCCTGAATACATGTGACATCCTGGGTGAGTCTTTCCGGGGAGGGCCCAAAGCTTTCATCCGGTTCTTAGGGGTGTTGAACTGAAAACACGCTGGAGGAAATGGTCGTGTGGCGCCTTCCACGTTTGGGGTGTCGGGCACATCTAGTGGACCCTCATAGAGATCGCTGTCTTCCTCCTGCTCCTTAGACACTCGGCGGGTTCCGAGAACCACAGGAGAGGCTGCGGGCAGCGGGCCCTTCTTCCTACTCTGAGCCAGTCACCCCGGCCTCGGCCTCCTCTGCAGGCCTGGCTGTGGCCACCACCTAAGGGGCTCTTTCCTGGGCCCTGGGGCCCGCCCTGGGTGAGCTATGCTGCAGAAGACCCCAGCAATCCCTTGGGGGCACGGCCCACTCCCTCCTTCATCCCGTGAGCTCCCTGGCGGGTGCTGAGTGTAGAGCCAGGCAAATGCCAGGGAGCTCAGAAGAGAGGAGCCCCGCCTGTGGGGTCTCCAAGCCCCAAGGCAGGCAGGGAGGGGCTGAGCGGGGAGCTTGGCTTGAGGTAGCACTGGTACGTGTTGAAGATGAGCGGCTTCTCCACATTGAACTTGCGCTGCATCTCCAGCGTCAGGCGGCTGATGGCCGGCTGGAAGTAGGTCTGCTCGGCGTCCACCATCAGCCGCACGCCCACCTCTGTGGCTTTCTGAGAGGTGCAGAGGGTGGGGCAGTGGGAGCAACTGTTGCTCAGGTGAGGCAGGTGCCCTCTTCTGCACGAGTCCCAGGTCCCCAAGGCCCTAGCCCTCTGTCCAAGCAGGGCAGCTCACCTTGGCCAGGACATCCATCCGCTGTAGCATCCTCGTCATCTGTAGCTCCTCCTCCTCAGTGAACCGGGACAGCAGAGGCTCCAGCTGTCCTGTCTGGGGGTGCAGCACATGGTCAGGCCACAAGCGAGGGCTGGAAAGTGCCACCCTGAGGCCCAGGCTAAACCTTTCTCAGTGTTCCCAGCCCACGGGAACCCTCTGATCTGCCCATGCAGGGCTGGGAGGGCCACCTGGACACAGCAACACAGTGCCCGGGAACCTCCAACGCAGCCAGTGCACTGCCCTACGTGGGCCTGGTAGCACCATGAGGGAGCTCATTGGCCATGTCCGTGGGCCCCAGGCTCAGTCTAGGCCTGCACCCCAAAGTGTGTACTCTAGCAGCCTCCCCAGTTCCCACAGAGGCCCCACTGTTGTGGGAGGGCCCCCTGCAGCTCCCATGTGACACTGAGGAAGTGAACACTGACCACCCAATCGTCAAACAGAAGGGCTCCGCCCGGAGCAGGGAGAAGACCCAGGAGGAGGAACCCCTGGCTACAGGCTGACAGGGCGGTCGTGCAGCACATGCTGACACATGGTTGGGGACCACGGCAACCTCCAGGACGAGGCCTTCAAGGAGCTGGTGCTCAGAGGCCATGGGGACCCATCCTGCAGGGCCTCCCACTCACCCCTTTGCTGCCTCAGCAGCCTCGCCTCACTGAGCACACACAGTACCGCTCTAGCCCTTGCTACACCATGCTAAAGTCTCCAGCAGCTGGTGGCCTTGGTGCACAGCTGCTCTGTACACACGGCGCCCCGAGGCTCTGGGTCGAGCTCTCTAAGTTTGAGGCTGGGCCCTCAGTGGACTGGGGCTGGATGTGTCACGGAAAGCTGCCTCTGCAGGATGTTTTCTGCAGGTGCTTCTGTTCTTTCTTCGAATCCCAGCTTAGGCTGTGGTTTCAAGCATTCTGCCAGGTCCTGGGCCCCCCTCCCACAGGCAGATGACTCTCATTCCTCTCCCCGCTGTACACAGGCTGGCCTGGTGACATGCTTCTAACACACAGAACTCGGCAGAAAAGAAACCGTGTGACTTTTGAGGTGAGGCAGGAAAAGGTCACCCGGCTTCTGCCTGGCTCTCACGTCTCAGGGGACATTGGCCCTTAGAGCCCAGCTGCCGTGTTGGGAAAAAGCCCAAGCCACAGCCAGCACCAACTTCCAGACATGGGAGTGGGCGCCTCCACCAGGTCCCAGCCCACCACTCTGTGAGCACAGCTACCCAGGAGACCCCAAGGGAGGACTGCCCGGCTGAGCCCTGTCAACCCCAGAACCATGAGGGAGAAGCAGAGTGACTGCTGCGTTTCAGGCCTCTGAAGTTTGGGGTGACCTGATGCAAAAGACAGATGACTTGGGGAAGGCCCAGACCCCCTCTCCTTGTGGTGTCTTAAGGCTCTGCGTGGGTCTCTGTCCCACCAAGCACTCTGTGGGCACTAGTGGGTTTGTCTCCTTCCCCCTGGACCATAGGGGGTCTGTGGGGCCACAGTGTGCAGTGATCTTGGTCATGTTAAGTTCCCAGGGTGGGCAACCAGAGACACGCGTGGCAGGCTGAACTCCCTTCTCAGCCCAGCGCCCTGCTGAGCAGGGCCTCACCGAGGAGCGGAGGTGTTACCTGAGCGTTGGGGACCACCAGGTGCTTGGAGAGCTTGGTCCTGCTGTCGATGAGGCTGCCCCAGTCCAGCAGGTCCACGGTGCTGAGGGAGGAGGCGCATCAGCAGAGGGGGCGACCCCACCTGTGGGTGCTGGGGTCGGGTGGGGGATCCAGGCCCAAACCTGTCCGTCCACCAACCACCACAAAACCCACCTCGGTGTGCAGTTTTAAAAGACAGAGAAGGCTGAGGCAGGAGAATGGAGTGAACCCAGGAGGCAGAGCTTGCAGTGAGCAGAGATCGGCCACTGCACTCCAGCCTGGGCGACAGAGCGAGACTCCGTCTCGGGAAAAAAAAAAAAGAGAGAAAATGTAAATACTGTTCTCTGTTTAAAAATTTAAAACCAGTGGCGTGCAGTGGCTCAAACTTGTAATCCCAGCACTTTGGGAGGCTACGGTGGGCAGGTCACTTGAGCCCAGGAGTTTGAAACCAGCCTGGGCAACATGGTGAGACCTGGTCTCTATAAACATAAATTAATTAAAATAATTTAAAACCAAAACACAAACAGTCCTGTATCTAGGCGGCTCTGAAAACACTGAGTACCCTAGGGCTGTTTTGGGCTTGTGGAGGGGCCAAGCATATGCAGCCAGGCAGGAGGTGGACACAGCTCCGGGGGCCAGGGAGGACACAGTGGGCAAGGCTGACAGTATGTGAGGGGACGGCTGACTACTGCACCACCCCAGTCACCTCCCCACTTCAACTGGGGGCTCCTGGTGCCCTCGGTCCCAGCCCCTGACCCCAAGGATGGGGCGTGGGGCTCTGATCCTTCACCTGCCAGCGTGGGCTCCAGGGGGGCTGAGAGTGCCACCTTTGCTCTGGACCCAGATAATTCTATAAAGAGCCCTCTATGGGGCCCCAGGGACTCCTGAAGCCATCAAGTCCTGCTGTGTGAAAAGCAGGTCCTTCAGCACTGTCATCCCAAGGCCCACCCTCTCAGGCAGGGCAGCCAGGACTGGGAGACGCCGCTGGGGCTTGGCTGGAACCATGGCTGATGCTTGTGTCCTCTCAGCCTGGGGGCTGTTCTCACCCAGACACTCCCAGGGTCTCTGCCGTGAACCAGTCCTCAATCTCAGCCTTGGATGCGATGCCCATCTTTGCAACACTTTCCTTGAGAAGTGAGAAGGCCTGGATCAGCCCCATTCGTTCACATTTTATCCTTCCCCCACCCATTGGCCTCTGGTGCTGTTTCTGGCCTTATTACATCATTAGCGAGAACGGGATCCATTTCTGGTTTGTTTCTACTGCATAGACAGGTCTATTCCCACCCGACTGCTGATGCTTGCCCATGCCCTGCAGGGCTGGTCCCTAGCCCTCTCACCAGCATCTCCCCACTCTGTTCAGCGTCCCTCTGACCTCCTCCTCCCCACAAGGCCAACCCCAGCAGCTGCAGAGTGAGCCACATGCCCTGGATGAGTTCCCCAAACCGCCTCAGACCGCTGCCCACCATGCCCCCTGTGCGCCCCCACGGTGCCCACCCCCGCACAAGCCCCGGGAGTGGGGAAGGGGAGGGCTGCCCCACCTGCAGCGCGGCCACCTCCAGCTTGGTGTCCATGGCAGCCAGGCCCGCCTTCCCTTGCTCCGCAGCCATTTGGTGAAAGAAGCGTCTCCACTTGGTCAGCACCTCTGAGAATTGCAGCTGCAAACACAGGCCTGAATGCCATCTGCACACGCCCCTGCCCGCCCCAGTCCCCCACGCAGCCCCTGTGGCCAGCTCAGGCCTCTAAGGCACAGGCACCTGTGCTTTCAGTGGATGCCCACAGCTGTCCTGAGGACTCGCACAGCACCAGACTCTGCAGGTGGAAGGTTCTAGCACTTACCAGAAACTGGGGTCTCCCCAGTGCCGTGAGCTTAATGGCTATGAAGCCGTCATCGCTGACTCTACCTGTCAGAAGCCACAGGAAAAGCCATGACGGCCCTGAGAGGTGCATGGAGGCAGTGCAGGTTGGGACAGGGAGGGCTGGGACCTCACCAGCCTACAGCAGGCTCCTGACCCCACCCCACCCCACCCCACCCATGAAGTCCCCACACATGGCGCTCTGGAGGTCCTGTAGAGATGGAAGGGGGCTCCGTGGCGGGGTCTGTGTTTGCCATGCAGGTGCGGGACAGCAGTGGGCACAGGAGCTGCCTGTCCCCTGCCAAGCAGCCCCCACAGGCTCCCTGCCTCAGTTTCCTCCCCTGTGCCACCAGCACCATAGGCTGCTCACCCGTGGGTCACAGAATCCAGAAACACCAAGCATGGCTAAGGCAGAGACACCCTAGCGAGGCCCCCTTGCTCAGGCCTCTGCCCCGGAGCCAGGGTCTCCCAGGCACCTCTGATGTTCCTGCCCCCACACAGCCAGCCCGCAGTCCCACCCGGTCCTCCAGGCCGACCCTCCTGCAGCATTCTTCCCCCTGACATTTCTTTCCAAGCAGCAACCAGAAATGTTCCTTTAAAGTGAAAGCAGATCTTACCATCTCATCTTGTTTAATGTCACCCCAATGCAGGGCCTTCCCCTTCCATCTGCCCCGGGAGAACAGGCAATGGGTGAGAAGACGCCCCTCACCCTGATGGCCCAGCATTCAGCTGGCCACTCTGACCCCCAGCCCTAGTCAGGAGGCGGCTTCCAAGCACTGCTCGGAAGGGCCAGGTGCAGTGGTCCTGGCCCTTTGGGAGGCCAAAGTGGAAGGTTCGCTTGAGCCCAGGAGTTTGAGACCACCCTGGGCAACATGGTGAAACACCATCTCTACAAAAAAATACGAAAAGTAGCTGGGTGTGGTAGTGTGCACCTGTAATCCCAGCACTTTGGGAGGCCAAGGTGGGGGGATCACTTGAGCCCAGGAGGAGTTCCAGGCTAGCCAGGGCAACATAGTGAGATCTCTCTTTTTTTTTTTTTTTTTTTGAGATGGAGTCACTCTGTCGCCCGGGCTGGAGTGCAGTGGCACAATCTCGGCTCACTGCAACCTCTGCCTCCTGGATTCAAGTGATTCTCCTGTCTCAGCCTCCCAAGTAGCTGGGATCACAGGCTACCTGCTGCCATTCCTGGCTAATGTTTTGTATTTTAGTAGAGACAGGGTTTCACCATGTTGCCCAGGCTGGTCTTTAACTCCTGACCTCAGGCAATCCACCCGCCTCGGCCTCCCAAAGTGCTGGGATTACAGGCGTGGGCCACTGTGCCTGGGTGTAAGACCTCCTCTTTACAAAAATAATAACAAAAACAAAAACTTGGCCAGGTGTGGCGGCGTGCACCTGTAGACCCAGCTACTCAAGAGGCTGAGGTGGGAGGATGGCTTGAGCCCAGGAGGTCTAGGCTGCAGTGAGCTATGATCACACCACTGCACTCCAGCGTGCGCAACAGAGTAAGATCCAGTCTCATTTGAAACAAACAAACAAAAATATGAACAGGCCTGGGACCTGCTGCCCCTGACGGAGGGCTGCTGGGGCCAGCATGGGGCTGTGCAGGTTCGGGTGTTTCTAACACTGAAGGACACTGGGCCTTGGTGACCTCCGGCTTCTCTAGCCCTGGAAGCACCTGCTCCCCCCACCTCTGGCCCCCAGAGGCTGTGTCAGGGAGGGATTCCCAGGCAGAAGATGCGACACCAGCTCCCTGAACGGAACCTCCACCCTGGGCTAAGGGTGGCTCGGCAGCTGACATGGACCAACTTCCTGCAGCTCCTGGTCCTGGCCCCAAGCCAGGGAGAAGGGTGGGGAGCATGAGGTGGGATCAGGGAACAGGGGGCTGGGGCGGGGGCAGGAGATGCCTTCTGGGAGGCAGTGGGACCTCTCAGGAAGGGGCCGAACAGTGAGGCACCCAAGTGTGACCAGAACCCAGCCCTCTGGCTCCTGCCCCAGCTTGGTGTTCACCCACCAGCACCTCCGTGAGCCCAGGGGTCCACTCAGGCTGGGACATGGTGGGGGCATAGCTAGCAAAGAGGGGGCCCCACCTGAGGCTTCGATGCAGCGCAAGAATGTCTCCATGTGGCTGTCGCACTTGGCCTCGTTGGCATAGAAGTAGGTGCGGGCACTGATGACGCCACTCCTGCGGTCCCCGAAGGCCCGGTGGGCCTGGTATTGCTTATCTCGCTTATTTGTCCCTGGAATGGTGCATGCACGGCCTGAGCACAGCTCCAAACACCCACTCCTAGCACCCACATGCCAAGGCCCCAGGGCCCCTGCCCTCAGGAGGGCTCCAAGCGTAGTGGCCATGCCAGCCTGGGCTGGGCACTGTGCTGCCCCATGGTTCCCATCCCCAAACCCACCCTCCTGTCTGCACTGCAGCTCTTCCACCTGGAGTGCTGCATCCCCCTGCTAAACCTCCTCATGAGGCCAGGACGGCAGAGCCTCCTCAACAAAAGCCTGGGTCCACCAGGAGGCCATCAAAAAGCAGCAAGGAATCGCTCTCCCCAGACACTTGAGAGTATGTCAGAGCCCAGAGCAACAGAGCAGGTGCCCGGGACACAGGAAGGGCCCTGGACATAGGGAGGATCCCGGACTCCGACATCACCCCAAGGCCCACTTGTGCTCCAGCCTAGACTCTCCTAGAAACCAGGGGGTGCGTGGAGTGGGGAGGGCGTCCATTCACGTGTGGCGGCCTCTCACTCACCACTGCCATCCCTCTCCGCAGCTGAGGTGCAGGACCTGTGGGAAGGAGGGGGAAGGCAAAGGTCATTGTCACACCACCTGAGCCTCAGGTGACAGCCAAGTTCCCACTGAGGCTGCACAGAGGGCCCCACCACAACCCCGGTGGAGGGTAGATTCCAAGGTGCAGCCCCAGCCCCGCCCCAGCCTGGGGAGAACACCTGGGCCTGGGAGGGGCAGCACTTTATGGGGCTGTTGTGTCCCAAGGGCTCAGGAAGTCCGGGGCTCCTTGTGGGTGGAGAAATCAGAACGATATGCCTGAGTTCTCAGAACAGCCCAGGCCTTGCAGCAAGTTCTTGAATAAAGGTAGTTAGCTGGTTCCAAGTCAGGGCTGAGAGGAACGGAGGCAGGAAGGCACAAGCACACAGAGATCCCTAAATCCCCAACGAGGCCCCCTTACTCAGGCCTCTGTCCCAGAGCCAGGGTCTCCCAGGCACCTCTGATGCAAGTGCAGGCTCCTGCCCCCACGCAGCCAGCCCGCAGTCCCACCCTGTCCTCCAGGCCGGCCCTCCTGCAGCATTCTTGCCCCGACACTTCTTTTCCAAGCAACAACCAGAAATGTTCCTTTAAAGTGAAAGCAGATCTTACCATCTCATCTTGTTTAATGCCACCCCGCTCCAGGCTCCCATCATTTCCCAGTAATACCCAAAATCCTGGGCCCCTGGCATGGGAACCTCAAGACCAGTGAGGCCAGGATGCTGGCTGTCCCCCACTAGGCTGGCCACACTCTGCCCAGCCAAGCCCCTGTCCTTCCTGCAGGTGCCTCTCCATCCCCGTCTGGCCTGCACCCCCATTCCCACTGGCCCCTCTGTCCTCTGGGGTACCTGGCTCCCCTCCCCCACCAGCCCTGCACCCCTGCCAGAGCCACTGTGAACACCCTCCTCTTCCTCCTCCTCACACCACAGTCTGCTCCCTGGCACGTGGTTTCGGTGCTGTGTCATTAGTGCTAGCAAGAGTTGCTGTGGCTGTGAAGTCTACTGTGACAAAGTGACCATGGTCTCTCCCTGGCCCCGGGAGCAGCTCTGTGGTCATCTGACTTTATATTCAAAGCCTGATTAAGTCAGTGACCATGGGGAGAGGTTGACTGCATAACCAACAGCATCCAGAGCCTTCCTGAAGCTCCCCAGAGGCGGCGCTCGGACCCTCGGGGGGCAGCTCTGTCCACACTCACAGGAAAGGACAGGGTCCCCCTCAGGTGCCGGGAAGGGTAAAGGCAGAGCAGTGGTCAGTGAGCCACATCCCACAGGCCTCCACATCAAGGAGCCTCAGCTGACTGCTTTCTACCTTCCACCTGCTCAAGGAGCAAGCCCTGGGCCAGGAGCCCCCACCAGGAGGCCTTCCCTCCCACCTACTCCTGGGCTGCCCCACATGGGCCAGGGACTCCTCATGTGCCTCCAGGTCCTCTACGGCTGCAGCCCAGGGATGGGAGCTGGCAGGCAGATATGTGCTGGCCGCCTTGTGCTGACAGAGATGTGACAGAAGAAGGTGGAATGTCATCTTGTGACTAGGGAACAGGCAGGCAGCACGTGACCCCCTGCCTTCGACAGGGAGCTCCCAGGTCCCTGGCTTGGGAACCTCAAGACCAGTCGTGAGGTCAGTCCCAGGACTTTCACGCCGAGGTTCGCGTACAACCAGGCAAAAGCCATCTCCAAGGGGGACTCACTCTGCCAAGGCTGGGGCGGCAGCCAGAGCCCCGCCCGGGGTAGAAACCCTCATGGCAAGGAACAGCAGACAGTGGGGATGGGGCCTCAGGGGCCTCCATGACCCTGATGAGAAGATCCCATCTTGAAACCACACAGCCCACAGTTTGGATAACACGAGACTTAACCAGACAGGTGTCTGCCTGTGAGGCAGCCTGCCTTCATGAAACAGGATCGTTATCTGACAGGTCCCCGGGCAGACGAGTTCCGGCTAAACATTCCCACAGCTGTTGTGTTCATCCTCCGAGGTGGGCCCAGCAGGAGAGGCTGGGGAAGCCAGGGCCGCTCCCTCTCCTGCTCTGACACGCTCAGAGGCAGAACACCATAGACAGAACGCCCCTGTTTCCCTCCGTGAACCTCCAGAGCACAGACCAGGCTGACAAAGCCAAGCACAGTGGCCAAGATGACCGCATAGCATGTGCAGTGGCCACAGGGGCAACCAGGTCTCAGAGTGGACAGCTACGTGGCAAGGACAGGGCCACACTCTCCAACAGGCATCATGGGTTAGTCACAAGGAGACACACATGGTGGTTCCCAGGCAGGTCAGGGTCCTGTTTCCACTGGAGGGGAGGAAGAACGCACCCTCAGAGCAGCTGATTCAGAACTGCCAGTGCCACACGGGAAATCTGGCTTTCCCCACCTGGGACGCTGCTACGTCATGGCTCAAGGCACCACAGGGAAGAGGGGGGCACATGGCACTGGCAACCGTGGGGTGTTAGAGGAGGAAGGGTGAACTGGTGGATGTGAGGCCCTGATCAGGGTGGGGACCACATCCCAATGACTGCTTAAAGCCGGGACCCGCCCTGTGCTCCCCCAGCCCCACCCCTCATCATGCCCAGGGCATAGTCTATGGAAGGGCACATGATCACACACATGGGCACGGCCCGGGACACAGAGAAGGGAAGAGCAACAAGGGGACATGGGGCAGAGGAGGACAAGCACGAGTCCCCAGGGGGTCTTCCGAGACAGCAGGAAGACCCTGACCACCCCTTCAGCCTCTACCGAGCTCAGCTCTGGGTAGCTGTTCCTGGGGACGTGATGCCTGTTTGAAACAAGCAGAGCATGCTCTGCTTAGGGGTCCACGCCCTGCCCTTGCCCAACTCTCCCCTGGAGGGAAGCCTGGCAAGCCCCTTCCTACCTGTACCCCCCTTCCCCAGCTCCCCCAGCCCCTGCCTCCCCAGCCCCTCGCTCAGGACACACACTGCACACATATCCCAAGTGAGCTGCCCCAGCCTGGAGACCAAGGCCCAGACCCCGCCTCCAGCCAGCCCTGGGCCTGCACAGCCCGACTGATGCCCCCATCCATCCGCTAGGTGTCCCCTCACAGCCCAATCGTCAGGAAGATGCTTGGCCCCTTCCCCATCCCTAAGACCTCAGCCTGCTTAGGGGATCCCTGGGACTTCTCTCCTGGAATCAGGTAGGGCCCTGGCCTCTGGGAAGCATGGTCCCACCCCTCCTCTGTGTGGGCGCTGCTGTCCTGCACCTCCAGCCTCCCACCTTCTCCTTCGTGCTCCAGAGCACTGCTGGGACTCGCTTCGCCATGCACTCAGATGCCTCCATCCTCCCTGGGCCTCTCACAGTTAGGCCAGCACCACCTGCCATGGCCTTCATGTGGGGCGGTGGCCTCAGCGTCTCTCCCCAGAGTAGAGCTCATGGCCCTTGTGACAGGAAGGTAGGTTAGGAATACAGATCTTTCAGCAGTTCCCTGCACTAGGGTCTGCATCACTGGTCATTCCCGGCCAGGCAGGCCATGCTGCCGTGTGGACATCAGACGAGTGCTTGCAGACCCAGCCCTATCCCCATGGCTCAGGCCCCTCTGAAGGCACAGAGCAGCTGAGCTGGGTAGGTGTCCTCACCATGCACCCCTGTGAGGACAGGAGGGAACCCTGTTCACTTCCCAGAGCTGGAGCAGGGCCCCTGCAGACTGCAGCCACCAGCAGCAAGAGAGGCGCAGCCCTTGCAGGGCAAGGGACTCAGGCTCCTAAGGGGACGGGTGCCCAGCTCCCTGGCAGAGTGCAGGCCAGCCCACCTCCAGACACACAGCCTGCAGGGCAGGCAGGAAGCGAGGCAGGACCACCCAGGGAAAGGAGTCTTTTCATACCAGAGGTGCCTGAGAAGAAAACCCCATTGTGAAACCAAGTCCCCACCCAGACTCCTTCTGAGAACACACAGGCCATTGGTTATTCAACAGGCAGCTCAGCAAAGGTTGCAGCCAAGGGCTCAGGCAGCTGTGGGGCCCACAGGGCCTGCTAGGAACACAGTGGGGTGCTGGGGCTGGAGCACCCCACCTTCAAAACAGCCAATCACAAGGCAGGGGCTGGGCTTCTCTCTCCAGGCAACTGGCAGCCGGCATGCTAAGGCAAGGCACAGACATTCCGTTCCCAGGGCTGGAGGCCTCATGTGACTGCCTTTCCCTCCCTTTCTCAGGCCAGCCACCAGGGAGGGGCATAGCAAACAAGACCTGACAAGGTCCACAGAGGGATTGTCCCAAGCCTCATGTGGGCCAGGCTCAGCTGCTGTCTGGGTGCAGGGGACCCAAATACATAAGGAGACACAGGGAGATCCCATCTTTACAAAAAAAAAATTTAAAAATTAGCCAGATATGATGGTGCATGCCTATGGTCCCAGCTACTTAGGGGCTCAGATGGGAGGATCACTTGAGCCCAGAAGGTTGAGGCTGTAGTGAACCATGGCACCACTGCACTGCAGCCTGGGCAACACAGCAAGACCCTACTTTTAAAAAAATGGTTGAAAGAAATCAAAACAAGAATAATATTTGGTGACACAAGAAAATTATATGAAATTCTAATTACCATGGCTCTACTGAGGCAGAGTGAAGCCGCTGTAGCAGGGAGGGTCTGGCCCAAGACTGAGAGTCTGTGCCACCTGGCTGTTTACACAAACATTTGCTGACCTGATGGGGGAGGCTCTGCTACAGCCTCTCTTCTGCAGGGATTCCTGACCCACAGGCGGGTCCCACTGCCTGACCCTTGCCTGGCCTCAGCCTGCCCTGCAGGTGTGGAACCTCCCAGGCCTGGCCCCTGCCCCAGTGTCAGTGGAGAAGGGAATTGAAGCCAGGAGCAGAGTGGCAGGCCGGCCTGGAGTCGTCTCCTGGAGGTCACTAACCCGACACAGAGCCCCTTCCCTGGGCAGTGAGTGTAGAGGGCAGTTGGTACCACCCTGACCCGCCCTCCTGGGCATGAGGACAGAACAAGACCATGTTTCTCTCCATTTCCTGGAGCAGTCCCTGGCTCATGGGAGATCCAGGCAAGACCAACCACTCTTTGCAGAGTGCTTGGTCCATATGCTGGTGCCTGTGCCCCTCCAGGTCATGGGCTAGATAGGGCCAAGGACCATTCTGTGCTCGGCTTCCTCAGGCCTCACGCACACCAGGCCTCCCACGAAAGCTGAGAGCTGTCATCTACATGAAGCAAAAATGCAAGAACTCCAGGCAGAACCCAGGAGGGTCGTCGGTAGTTGGGCTGACCAAGCTCTCCGAGGCTTGGCCTCTGCCCAGCTGAGGCTGAAGCCCAGCAGCTGGACACGTCCCACCTGCTCCCACTGGGTGCTCCCGGGTCATGATCAGAATGCCCGCAGACACCGGGCAGGCCTTACTCCATCTCCTTGTGCTCTGCCTCCTCGGGGCTCAGGTCCTCCTCCACTCCATAGTCCAGAATGGCGCCGACACCGAAGGCCCTGTTGTGCCGAAGCAGGGGCTGGATGGACTCCTGGTCCTCGCCGGCTACAAAATGCCCATAGAAGGTCATCTTCATGAGCTTGTTGAATAGCCTCTGCCCTAGAAGTTTCCTGGCAACATACAGCAGCTGAAAGGCAAAGGGGAGCCGCTGTCCTGGGCTGCCCGAACTCCCCTTCCCCAAGCAGGGCCCCGCTGCTCATTCCCGACCACAACACTTAACCCCAGCCGTGGGTCCCTGATATGGTCTCTTGGTGACTGGGCTTCCAGTGTCGATTTCATGGTGAAGACCAGCCGAAGCCGCTTGCTTCTCCACTCTGTCCATCGCTCCAGTTCCCATCCAGAACAAAGAGACCACAGGAGGTGCCGCCTGCTTGGCCTGGGCACACTGTTCCCACCTGGACTCTGCCCCTTCAGGGCCCCAACCATGAGTCACTCCAGTGGCACACGGTGGGTGCCTGACCACTGCTTGGTGGAGAAAAAGGAGAATGGCCGGCCTCTGTGGGGACAGCAGCGGGCATTGTGAGACCATCCTCTGTACCCACATCTTGGCAGTTCTGCGGGGGAAGAGGAGGATCTAACTTGACTTTCTAGTACTTGACTGCCCAGATTTTTCAATGTTTTGTTCCCTCTTATCCCAAGTCCCTAAAACAGTGTGACTGGCATGAGGCCGGCCCCTGAACGGATGCTAAATAACAAACGTGTGAAACTCAGGCTGAGTCTGTGTCCAGCTGGAGGGAAGCATGCCCTGGCGACAAGGACAATGAGCTAGGTGACAGTCCACAGAGGCCTGTGAGATGACTCCCTCCTCATGACCCATAGGCTCTGCAGGGTCATCTGGGGCTGACCAGCCACTCTGACGGACGCTGCCCAGGAACTGCTTGGCTGTCTCCTCCAATCATATTTCACCACATCGCTCATTCACATGTCCCAAGCTCCCATGCACCAAGCACCTTTTATAGACTGGAAACAACCAAAGGAAACTGACAAGGATCTCACATCCTGGTGGTAAACGAACCCCAAAGGGGAAGGAGGGACTCTGCCTGTCACTCAGGACAGGGGATGGGGCAGTGCCTGCAGGGTGGGGCAGAGGTGTTTACTAACCTAGACCCAGGAGTGGGGCTTGCCAAGGCAAGGAGATGGCATGGAGAACTGGGGGAGCTCTAGCACGGGGGACAGCCAGGGCAGAAAGGACAGGGACAACAAGAGGCTACTGGGAGAGGAGGGCCGAGTGTGATACTCAGAAGCACACCTCTGCCCCGTGTCTGCCACCCCTGCCGTCTCAGCACCGACACAGGAAGAGCCTGAGATTTCTCAAACCCGATGGAAACTAGAACTCCTTTTTTGTGGGGAGCATCTCTTGAAACCATAGTTTTAGGAACAACTTCTAGTCTAAACAAAAGCATTAGCGAGTCAAACACTTATACCCAAGCCAGCCCTGAGCACCCACACACCTGCCCACAGGCAGACATGGCCCCACAGCCTTACCCTGAACATTGGTGCCCCATGGAGATGCCTCCTGACCATCACCCCTGGGCACGCCATGGGGCAGCCCCAAGGACCAGGGATTCCCAGGCACTCACCCCTGCCTTCCTGCAGCCTCCACACAGAATCTGACTTTACTGCATTTTGTTCTTTCATAAAGAGGATTAGAAACTGGAAAATGAACATGCTGACATGTTCTCCGTCTCCCACTGAGCCTGAGCCTGAGCCGGGAGCCAGGCCTCATTCCTGCCGGCAGCACCCAGGGATATCTGGGAGAACAGGATGGGTCTGAAACATATCAAAGAACACCCAAGTGGCAGGCGGGGCAGAACTGGGGACCTGAAAACCATCACTGAGCTCATCCACATCCGCTCTGAGAGAACCATCAGAAACCCAACAGGAGGGAGGGTGGGCAATTGTCTGCTGCAAGGGCTAGCACGATTGCCTCACAGGGCCACACAGTCTCCCTCTACCTAACCGCTCGCCTCTGCACAGCCAGCACTAAATGAAGAGGCGGGAGCTGGTTCCAGGCTGCACTGGTTCCAGGGATGCTTCTTCAAAAGATCGGGGGGCTGAGGGACTGGGTCCGGGCCGAGGCTGAAAGCTCCCTGCACAGGGCTACAGAAGCACACAGGCAGGGCCGGCAAGTTTATTTATTTATTTATTTATTTATTTTTAGAGGCAGGGTCTCACTCCTGGGCTTAAGTGACCCTCCTGTCTCAGCCTCCAGAGTAGTTGGGACTAAAGGCATGCACCACCAGCTCAACTAACTTTTTTTTTTTTTTGAGGCAGAGTTTTGCTCTGTTGCCCAGGCTGGAGTGCAGTAGCACAGTCTCGGCTCACTGAAACCTCCACCTCCCAGGTTCAAGCGATTCTCCCGCCTCAGCCTCCCAAGTAGCAGAGATTACAGGTGCCCACCACCACGCCGGGCTAATTTTTATATTTTTAGTAGAGACTGGGGTTTCTCCATGTTGACCAGGCTGGTCTTGAACTCCTAACTTCAGGTGATCCACCCGTCTCAGCCTCCCAAAGTGCTGGAATTACAGGTGTGAGCCACCACGCCCGGCCCCTGCTAACTTTTAAAAATATTTTGTAGGCCGGGCGCGGTGGCTCAAGCCTGTAATCCCAGCAGTTTGGGAGGCCGAGACGGGCGGATCACGAGGTCAGGAGATCGAGACCATCCTGGCTAACACGGTGAAACCCCGTCTCTACTAAAAAATACAAAAAAACTAGCCGGGCGAGGTGGCGGGCGCCTGTAGTCCCAGCTACTCGGGAGGCTGAGGCAGGAGAATGGCGTGAACCCGGGAGGCGGAGCTTGCAGTGAGCTGAGATCCGGCCACTGCACTCCAGCCTGGGCGACAGAGCGAGACTCCGTCTCAAAAAAAAAAATAAATAAAAAATAAATAAAAAAAAAAAAATTAAAAAAATAAAAATATTTTGTAGAGACAGGGTTTCACAGTGTTGCTCAGGCTGGTCTTGAACTCCTGGCCTTAAGTGGTCCTCCTGCCTTGACCTCCTGAAGTGCTGGAATTATAGGCATGAGCCACCATGCCCAGCCTAGGGCTGGTATGAGCAGAGCAAAGCAACCACTGTAACACCATCCTGGTGTCACTGATGCCCGCGCATGGCACTACCTGAGACCAGGGCAGCCCCTTCAGGTGAGGAGGGCCTTCGAGGATTTAGAAACCTGCACCAGTAACACATACACTTGTACCCCCTGTGAAAGACTGGATCAGATGTGTGCAGAGCAACACTGGCAGAGCCGGTTCTCTCCCCTCCCCCCGCTCAGGGAACCACCGTCACCATGGGTCCTGTCCCTTCTGTGAGGGCGCACACCTAACCTCGGTGCTGTTGTCATGGAAATCCCGGGACTTTCCTAAACCCTCCTCAAAAAGCCCTGCTTTCAGGCTAGGGCGGGCCCCAACGCTGTCCGCATCCAAGGCAGCAGCTCAAAGATCAATTCCTGCAACCTGACACTCCTGTGGCAGGTGTGATGGCCCCACTGCCCCGGCGCCTCACAGACCTGTGCTGGCTCAGCAGAAGGAATCTCCCCACAGCCACAGTCCAGAGGGTGAGGGCAGGCCCCCCTGCTCTGGCCTACCCACAGGACCAGGTTCTAGTGAGCAGCTCACAAGCCCAGGACCTGGCCTCTGCCTTCTTCCAGTGCTGAGGCTGCCAACACCCACAGGACCACTAACAAGATAACGGCACAGACCCCACCGAGGGGCTTCCCAGAGCACAGGCAGGACCCTAGGGGAGCCTGGGAGAGGTCGCCTCTGGATGCCCTGCCTCTTCCAGGTACCCACAGCACCATCCCTGAGCCCTGGCACTTGCCTTAAGAAGGCACCCAAGGGACGGCGGAGCCGACACGTTCCTCCCACGGTCACGGAACAGCACCTGGCATTCCCCTCAGCGGACTGGGCACCAAACCCCACACCCAGCTCTTCTGGCTTCTCTGTGCAACAACTGGTCTAGACAAGAAAGCTTAGGGCTGTGCCTGGAGAAACCTGACCTGGTGCCTTCCTAGCCCTCTCTCCATCTCGGCCACAAGGTGGGCACGGCTTCTGCACAGCTGGCCCCAGCTGCCACCTAGGATGCCCATCCTTGCCCTGGGCAGGGACCTGTAACTGGTCACTCCCTCCCCTGGCATTCCTGCCCTGCTGCCTCCTCCTCCTACTGCAGCACCACCAGCACTGGCTGCTCTTTCTGGATGCCCCTTAGATGTGGGCACTCCCCAAAGCCTCCACATCACCGTCCCTCCCCCTGCCAGTTCCTCTACCTGGGATGTCCCTTCTCACCTTCCTGCTCTCCACGGCCACGGCTTGACCTTAAGGCATCTTTATGCACACAAGCACAGAAACGGCCTCTCAGAGGCCACTGTCTGTCCAGTTCAGCTCCTTCTTCCTCCACCATCCTCCGCACCCCTGCCACCACTGGTCCTCGGCTGACCGTGGCGCTCCCCATGGGATTCGGGCCAACAGCATCTGACTCTGATTTCGTGGACCTCTGCCCTCACCTCGCACCCGCTGAGGCCTCACCTAAGCTCAAGTGTGGCTCAGTGCTTCTCATCTCACACCACTCCCCGCCTTCCCCCGCCTCCTGGTGAGGCCAGGGGTGCAGCCCCCGACCTCCGAGTCTCATCTGAGAAATCAACACCACCAGAACCCCGGCGCCAACAAAGGGAACGAAACTTGCAAACTCTTCCCAGGGTCACCTGGAGATAATCCTCATCTCTAATACCCCTAGGCCGATGCGGCTACAACAGCGTTCTGCTTGTTGCCCCCGCCCCCACCACCACCAAAAGTCCTCACACTTTTTAAAGTTACCATGGGTGAGTTCAAAGCTGGGCGTTTGAGGGGTTTCCCTTTTTTCCCCAACAGTGTGCTCAGAGTGGCCCTGTCTGGGAAGCGGCTGGGTCCCGTGGATTTAACTCTGGAGTCCCAGGCTATGAGCCCTACACCAGGCTTCTCTTGTGGCAACATGAAGAATACTCCATTTTAAATTCCAAGTGATAACTTTGTATTTCCACAAGTGGTATATATCGTAAATATTAAAACGATAATTGTTTTTAGTTGGTAGACATCGACAAGTAGGAAAATTTGCGAGGTACGAAAGGCACTGCAGGAAACGCCTCCCTTCCTGGCTTCCCTCGCTCCAGGAGATGCTTGGGAGGCACCCCTTTCACGCCAGGAAGCTCCATAAAGGCTCCCGGGACCGGCAGAAGCCCCGCGCCCCCGCCTGCACCCCGCGCACCTGCTCATGGTGCGCCAGCAGCGCGGGCCAGGCGCACAAGCGCAGCACCAGCAGGCTGCGCGCCAGCTCCCAGGTTCGCCTGCTGCGGTACGCCTCCTGCGTGTTGCCGAAGTCCACGGCGGGCACCGGTGCCCGCACTGCCTTGGCCGACCCACGTCCCGGCAGGGCTCCTGGGCCCGCGGCGGGCTGCTCGCGGACGGCCGGCGCCGTGGACAATGGGGCGAAGCGGGGAATGTAGGGGCGCAGCACAGGCAGGACGCTCCTCAGAGCCATGGCGGGAGGCCGGTACCGGCCCGGGCCGCTTAAGTATGTTCTGTTGGTCCCGCCCCGCCCCGCCCCGCCCCGCCCCGCCCCGCCCGGTCCCGGAGGCCTCGCCCGATATTCCCCACAAATGCCAAAGGCTTAGACTTGACAAGCACGCTGGCACTTCATTTACATGGTGGGGACCCTCTGCCGGCAGGGCTGAGGCCAAGGCCCACTGGCTTCCCAAAGCCTCTGCTCCTGCTCTCCATGAAGACAACAACAGAGTGAGACCCTGTCTCAAAACAAAACAAAAGAAAAATCATGTATTTTCATATAGCTAGAAGATTATTGAGTGTTCGTAATGCAAAGAAATGATAAATGTTTAAGATGACAGCTATGCTAATTACCCTCATCTGATCACTGCACATTGCATGTATAGAAACACCACTACATACCCCACAAATATGTACAATTATTATGTGTCAACTAAAAAATAAAAATATCCGAGTGTGGTGGCTCACGCCTGTAATCCCAGCACTTTGGGAGGCCAAGGCAGGAGGATCACTTGAGCCCAGGAGGGCCAGACCAGTCTGGGCAACATAATAAGACCTCATCTCTACAAAAAAATACAAAATTAATCAGGCATGGTGGTGTGTGTCTGTAATCCCAGCTACTCAGGAGGCTGAAGTGAGGGTATTGCTTGAGCCCAGGAGGTCGAAGCTACAGTGAGCTATGATCATGCCACCGCACTCCAGCCTGGGCAATGGAAGGAGACCCTGTCTCAAAAATAAAAATGATTTTTGTTTTGTTTTGTTTTGTTTTGAGACAGAGTCTTGCTCTGTCGCCCAGGCTAGACTGCAGTGGCGATATCTCGGCTCATTGCAACCTCCGCCTCCCAGATTCACGCCATTCTCCTGTCTCAGCCTCCCCAGTAGCTGGGACTACAAGCGCCCGCCACCATGCCTGGCTAATTTTTTACGCTTTTAGTAGAGACAGGGTTTCACTGTGTTAGCCAGGATGGTCTCGAACTCCTGACCTCATGATCCGCCCGCCTCAGCGTCCCAAAGTGCTGGGATTACAAGTGTGAGCCACCGCGCCCAGCGAATTTCGTTTTTTTTAAAGACAGAGAGATTCCAGACACAAATGGCCACAAGTTGTATGGTTCGGTTTATATGAAGAGTTCAGAGTAGACAAACCCATACAGACAGAAGTCACACGAAGACAAGCCCATAGTGTAGCCTGGTGAGTGCCTGGAGGTGGGGGACTGGAGGAGTAGGAGGGGCTGTCAAGGCCTGCGGAGTTTCTTTGGGGTCTGGAAATACTCTGGGACTAGAGAGTGGTGATGTTTGCTCATCCTTGTGTATTCACTGAAAAACCATTCAATTGTGCCATTGAAATGGGAAAAATTCCATGGTATAGTGCAAAAGGTAATACATGAATAGTACAATGAATTGTATCTCAATAAAGCTGTTATATTTTTTTACAAAGCAAAGTTGTAGCATTTGCTTCAAGGAAGCCTGTGGCCCTGCACAGAGGCAAAGGTGGGCAGGGGCTGCCAGGAGCTGCCAGGGGCAGGGCTGCAGAGAGGGCAGCGGGAGAGGTGAGGGGTGCAGGGATCACAGAGCTTGCCACTCATGTCCAGACCATAGCAGGGCAGGCCTAGCGCCGGGTGCCCAGGCCCATGGGAGAGCCCACCTGTGAGGGCGCCTGTGGGAACAAGGCTGGCCTGAAAGTCACTGGTTGCGTATGACAATCAGTGAAACAACTGAGATTCACAGGAGCTCTGTAAACACTAGTGTCAGGCCTCTGAGCCCAAGCTAAGCCATCATATCCCCAGTGACCTGCACATATACATCCAGATGGCCTGAAGCAACTGAAGATCCACAAAAGAAGTGAAAATAGCCTTAACTGATGACATTCCACCATGGTGATTTGTTTCTGCCCCACCGTAACTGATCAATGTACTTTGTAATCTCCCCCACCCCTAAGAAGATTATTTATAATCTCCCCCACCCTTAAGAAGGTACTTTGTAATTCTCCCCACCCTTAAGAATGTACTTTGTGAGATCCACCCCCTGCCCACAAAACATTGCTCCTATCTCCACTGCCTATCCCAAAACCTATAAGAACTAATGACAATCCCACCACCCTTTGCTGACTCTCTTTTCAGACTCAACCAGCCTGCACTCAGGTGAAATAAACAGCCATGTTGCTCACACAAAGCCTGTTTGGTGGTCTCATCATATGGAGACATGTGAGACAACTAGGAAGCAAGTCTTATGCTCAGCTGGGGACTCCTGGCAGGTGGCTACCCTGAGCCAGCTGATGGCTTTTTTTTTTTTTTTTTTTAAGAAACAGGGTCTTTCTGTCTGTTGCCCAAGCTGGAGTGCAGTGGTGTGATCACAGCTCACTGTAGTCTTGAACTCCTGGGCTTAAGTGATCCCCCTGCCTCAGCCTCCCAAATAGCTGGGACTACGAGCTGGACTGCACCTAGCTAATTTTTTTAAAATTTTTTTTGTGGAGACAGGGTGTGGCTGTGTTATCCAGACTGATCAAAACTCTTGGGCTCAAGTAGTCCTCCCACCTTGGCGTCTCAAAGTGCTGGGATTCGGGCGTGAGACACTGCGCCCAGTCGTGGATTATTTTGAAAGAATGATGCCCCGCCAGGGCCAGAGGATCCAGGTGGGAGTCGGTGGCGGGGGGTCCTCAGGGAGATGGGCTGGGTGGGAGGTGAGCGCCGGGGACAGAGGGGTGGGCTCTGTTCTCCAGCTCAGGAGATGGGCAGATCTGAGGGGCCAGTCTTGGGCATGTGGTGGGGACCCAGCTGCTGGGCGCCCCCGAGGTTGGGCCGGTCACCAGGGCCTGCCACTCCCAATGAGAAAGCAGACAAGAAACAGACTTTTGAGGGTAGAGAGGCTGCTGTGCTGCCCATTAGGCCCCCTGGGGACACTGCAGTCAGCCCCGCTCAGGACTCCTTCTGTTCCCCCACTTGCCACTTGCACTCATTCCCAGCGAGATCATTGTTGCTCCTCAGCCGTGAGCATGACATAGGAGCTCTGGCAAAGTCTTTTTTTTTTTCTTTTTTTTTTTTTCTGCCATGTGCCTCTTACCTGGACTCCTGAAATATTTGTTTCTCTGCCGGAAACGGGGCTCCCTGCATTCATTCTGATTTGTTGCATTTTTGCTGCTTGCCCTGTGGCCACTTTTACTGATATATTTGCTCTGTCTGCAGGCAAAGGAATTCATTCCCATTTGTTTAATTTGAGGCTTGTCCTTCCGTTATCTGCTGCACCAAACCTGGGCCGCTGGGTATATAGATTCCCTCATCGGTACTTTCTCCCCTTAACCACTCCACACTGCCGTTCACAGATCCTACTTGAGTTCTATTTAGCTATGTCAGTTTATTCATTTTTCTCAAAGCTAGTAAAATGCGATTGCAGTTCCTGAAGTTAAGATTGTCTGCTAGATCCCAGAACACGCCACTATTTATGTGAAAGCAATCACACTTCACCACTTTATATAATCATTTTCAATGCACATGTGAGGAAAGGTATTTAGACCCCCCCTCCTAATCCCTACCAGATTGTTTCCTGCTGAGACCAGCTCAGTTGGGGAGACTCTAACCCAGTGGTGCTAGAGAAATTAAAGACACACACACGGCTGGGCACAGTGGCTCATGCCTGTAATCCCAGCACTTTGGGAGGCCGAGGCAGGTGGATCACGAGGCCAGGAGATCGAGACTATCCTGGTTAACACAGTGAAACCCCGTCTCTACTAAAAATACAAAAAAAATTAGCCGGGCATGGTGGTGGGGGCCTGTAGTCCCAGACACTTGGGAGGCTGAGACAGGAGAATGGCTTGAACCCTGGAGGCAGAGCTTGCAGTGAGCCGAGATCGCGCCACTGCACTACAGCCTGGGCAACAGAGCGAGACTCTGTCTTAAAAAAAAAAAAAGAAAGAAAAAAGACACACACAAATATAGAGGTGTGGAATGGGAAATCAGGGGTCTCACACTCTTCAGAGCTGAGAGCTTCTAACAGAGATTTACCCACATATTTATTGACAGCAAGCCAGTGATAAGCATTGTTTCTTTTTCTTTTTCTTTTTTTCTTTTTTGAGACAGTTTTGCTCTGTCACCCAGGCTGGAGTGCAGTGGTGTGATCTCCGTTCACTGCAGCTCTGCCTCCCGGGTTCACACCATTCTCTTGCC